GACATGCATTAGCTGATAAAACCATAGTCAAAGACTAGAAAATGTGACAGTAATTTTATTGCATCTTATATTTTTTTATTGGAAATCTTCTGGCGACTTTCTCGTTATTTTGGATTTTTCAAGAAGTAAGCCTTGAGGAAAAGCCCCACAATTATTCTCTCTGTTTGTATTATGTCTTTAGTTAGCCATCACTATAGACGGAATGCCTGTGCTCCCTGCCCCGAAATTCACATGTTGAAATCTAACTCCCGAAGTGCTGGTGTTAGGAGGTGGGGCCTTTGGGAGGTGATTGGATCATAAGGGTGGAGCCTCTATGAGTGGGATTTAGTGCTCTTATAAAAGAGACTCCAGAGAGCTCCCTGGTCCCCTTCTGTCAGTTAAGGACACAGAAATTTGAACCAGGAAGCCAGAACTCACCAGATACTGATCCTGCTAACACCTTAATCTTAGACTTCCCAGTCTCTAGAACTGTGAGACATGAATGTTTATTGTCTAAGCCACTCAGGCTGGGTCTTTGGCCCAATGGGCCAAGACATCAATAAAGCACTACTTTTATTATTTGAATTTGGAGTTTGGCCGCCTACTGTTACCCTATAGTCATGGGAGGTTTTCCAAACCTCCATCTCATCTTTGATGACTGGAGGCCTTTGCTGTGGTGTCACTGTGCAGAGATCATTGTTCCATTGCCTTCCTGCTTAATGTCAGTTGTTGCATTTCTGTTCTGTGAAGTGGGGATGTATCTATCTAAGGAAACAGTTCTGATAACTAAAGACAACGTACAAGACACCTGCACACCAAGGATGCTTACATAACACCCTTCTTCACCTACTCTGGGCATATCCCCCATAGTGGACTTCTTTTTGGGTCCTTTCTCCTTTCACTATACATACATTTCTTTGGTGCATTTGCTCTAATCTTTGTATTACATTTGCATGTTTTTCATCATTTTTTCATTTTCAGATTTGCAAAGCCTCCTAAAAATTTTCTTTTTCCATTTTCACCTTCTGTTTTGTGATCTTCATGTCTACTTACTTCTTTATTTTTTTTTTTATTTCTCATAATAAGAATAAACATTAAATGGAAAGTATTGGTCCTGAATGACTGTGGAAGAACTTTGTTGTGCAGTGGAAGTGATATTTTGGTTCTGCAAGTATGTAGGACACCCTAAAATCCTTAGAGATTTTGTCAGCTTCCAGATCTCTGGTGGATGAATTTCACCAATGCAAAATGAAAGTTGAGTCACATGTCTGCATTTTGTTGTTCCCTTAGGATAATGAAGCTACTACTTTGTGACTTTTATGTTATTGAAATAAAAACCCCTCCAACTCAAAACTCTTGGGTTGTAAGACCATTGTATTTTATCATCACCCATCTGTATCAATGCTTGTAGGACCTCACCACTGGTTAATAAAGAGGGCATTGTATTTTTGTCTTTCATACTAAGTTCCTATTTGTTGTGAAGTTAGCCTAATATCTGTTGCTTGCACAACCCTTTGAATTTCATATTTTCATGGAAGAAATCTCTGACTCACATGGACTGCCTTTTAACCAAATTTTTAATAAATGCAATTCCATAGTCATTGCTTCCCATTTCTGTTTGTTTGTTTTATCTATGCTCTATAAAAAGCAATTGTGTAACAAAACAAAAAAGCAATGCCTATGTCCCTTTTTGCTTATTATTTTATTGAATTTATTGGTATGACATTGGTTAATAATGATACAGGTTTCAAGTGTACAATTCTATAATACATCATCCATGTATTGTATTGTGTGTTCACCACCCGAAGTCAAGGCTCTTTCCATCACCACTTTACCCTGTGCCTCTTTTAAAATTGGTATGTTCTTTTCATAAGTTGATTCCTCTGGGCTCTCAGGTATGTTCTTCATAACCCTGATAGGAGCTTCCTAAAAACTCTTTCAGTGTACCAGGTACAAGGTAGATGGCAAAGTCCAATAATCCCAAAGGAACTTGCATTTAATAATACAATCAGAAAGGGAAATGGAAATAATCAACGAAAGCATGAAGAGAAACCATAAGGACTAGATAGATTACATTTGCTCTAAGGTTTCTCATGCTACACTTTCTCTCCTGCTCTCTCAAACTCATGCATATTTCGGATAAATACATTACTTTTACTTCCTGCTGTATTTGGCAATAACTACAGGTTCACTTTGAAGGTCGAACTTAAGTAGTTGAGTAGGTATACCTATACCTGATTATTAAAAGCCAGAATTAGAGAATACTGTTAAACCACATTCTTCCATTGTTAAAACGGATAGGCGCTGTGTACGAACTGTGTAAACACAAACATGTTACAGCCTCTGAGATGGTATATTTAATGTTTCTATTCTTCATTGTTGTCCATTCTTGTTAGTTCTTTACCAAAATATTTTAAGATGGCTGCACTTAACTCTGTACATCAAAATTTAAAGGTCACAATTAAATAGTACAACAAAGAATTAAAAGATTAATTTTTATTTTAAGTTTACAGGGTTATTTATTTAAACTTACATAGCATTTACAGATAGATTAGAATAATAATTAATGAAATGACTTGTGTAATGGACAAAAAACACTTCAAGAGTGCCCATTTGGAGTATGCAGTAGGAATGATTGGCTAATATATTTAACTGGAAATGTGCTAGGCATCGAGTCATTTCTTTAACTGGGCAAAAGGCCCTCACTGCTCTCGGAGGGCACTTGTTTTTGTCAGTGCTCTTCTGCCCGGCAGGTCATGGACATGGTGGGATGTGATAACTGGTAACAGTTATGGAGGTTTACTAAGTGACAGGCAATGTAGTTAGCTCTGTGCACCCATGAGCTCAGCAACTATTTGCAGAGAGTCAAGCGCGTGACTAAATAGTCAGTGCTTCTGGTTTCCAACGCACGGAAAAGGCCCTTTCACTCAGCTAAATAAGTGGGCCTGCATATATTTATGGGGATTTCTTTATTTTTCTTCACAAGTGAATTTTGACAACGTCTTTTATATCGCTTGACCTTAGATATTTAAATTGAGTTGATAACGTTAAAAAGCACTATTCTCTGAAGTATTTGATGTTCAATGTTTTAATACCTTTATAATATACTACAAATCTGAGTAAAGATCTTGGCAGTTTCTCTTTGATGACACATCTAGACATTAAATAAAGACAATTTGTAATAACATTGTAATATGAATTAATTCAAGAACTACTAAAAATAAATCCCCATTCAACCTAATGTCATTATCATCTGGAGACCACATTAATGTTTTGTAATTCTTTGATGATTAAATTTCTTTAGTTTGCTCTTCTCATATATCATTAGAATGAACATGCCACTTATAAAGCATTAATTATTCATAACACCCAAGAATTACATCTGCTTTATTATTTTATTATTAAAACTGTGCTGAAGAAAGCAACCCATAATAATTACTTTATGAAGGGGAACACCCCAAATCCAGAATTTGTTTTTTAAAAATTGTGTATTTATTCTTACATGTTTAAACTTCAGCCACCTTCAGAGTGCTCTCCATTTGATGCAATATACATATCACGACTTTTTTTCACTGCTCAAAAGCAGTGGAACTCATTGATTTTGATGCTTTTCAGTGCTTCTGCCATTTTTATTTCACCTCTTTCACATGGGCAAAATGTTTCTCTTTGAGGACATTTTTCATCTGGGGAAACAAAAAAAAGTCACTTGGGGCGAGATCAGGTGAATCGGAAGGGTGGGGCTTGAAGGTCATACTGTTTTTGGTCAAAAACTGCTGAACACTCAGCGTGGTGTGGACAGGTGCACTCGAAAATCAACCATCATGAAATGGGCAAATGCATTGAAAGAATCTTAGAAAAACAATCCACTGAAGTGAAACATGGCATCTCACAACAGTGGCAGCTGGTAAGCTGATACCCAGGGGTCCCTAGAACACTCACCTAGCAGGGGCAGCCTGTACTATAAGGGACACACCTTACAGAAGATAATTCCATTTTGGGGGGGTCCCCCTCATATATATTCAACCTGATTGAACAAAAATGGCAACCTGTTATAGATTTTTACAGCACATGTATTATACAAGTTGTACTAATATATCATATAATACAATTAATTCAAAATATAGTGAAGAACATGCAACTAAAATGCCCTCATTTAAACCCCATATTTCTATTTCCTAATACTAAAACATATGTACTTACAAAGAAATGCACAAGCATATATCCACTGATTTAGTGGGGTTTTTTATTGAGCTTTTGTGTTGATTTCACTAGAATTCAGTGTTCTTCAAATAGGAACTATACTATTTTGATAGTAGTTTTTAAATACAAAGGGACAGTGTTTATGACATTCTTGGAGTGGCTTGGTTTCTCAGGCTTTTGTAACATATTCAGCTGACTGATTTAGTCTTGACATACAGCCAAAATAAAATGGAAAATTCATACAGTCTAAGTAAAAGTTTATTTTAACAGTGTAGACTTATTAACCACTAAACAAACATATGTTGCTAAATATATGCTGTGCTTACCTTTGTAAAGGTAACATTCAGCTGAGTGTCTTGAAATATTCAGAGCATTCTGTTATATGAGAAGTATTCAGTGAAAACATTTATACTCTGTCATTGTTTTGACAATCCAATTATATTCCTTTAAATATCTTACTACTTTTTGAAAATGCTTAGGGGATCACATGACCAAGTAAAAACATAATATTGTTAAGGGATTATGGGAAATTTATTTTTTACATTTGTTATTTTAACATAGCAACTGAAATAGACTAACAAATATTTCTAATATTTTAACTGCACATTAAACTGGTTCTCTATATATTCAATATGTCCTTAATTACTGAGATTTATATTAACCTACAGATTGCTTATAACATCGCTACCCCAATTTCACATGACACTGAAAAATGACGTTTTGTTTTAGAAGATTCTAGCAGAAAATGAAGTCACTTGAGGGGCTAGGAGGGGAATTTTGAGACTTGCTTTAAGGAATCTATGTGTGTATTTAATGTGCAGCACCTGTTCTTCCTGGAGCCTACCAGCAAAGCCATTCCCAAGGCTATGGGTACATGCACCAGACCAGCCTGTCTTCCATGAGGTCAATGCAGCATTCACCAAATCTAGTAAGTGTGGGCTTGAAGTGCTCCTTTTTCCCTGGTATTCTACTTCATCTCCAGAATAGAAACATGCATGGAATAGAATATTGTACATTTTAATGCTAAAATGATTTCTATTTATTTTATATTTTAGAATTTATTATTAACATATAGTTAATATACAGTATTATATTTGTTTAGGTGTAGAGCATAGTTATTTGGCATTTACTTACCTTACAGTGTGATCACCACAGTAAGCCTAGTAACCATCTGTCACTGTGCAAACTTACTGTGGTATTATCGACTATATTCCCTGTACTGTGTATTACAATCCCATGACTTACTTCTTTTATAACTGGAAGTGTGCGCCTCTTATCCCCCTTCACATTTTTAACTCGTTCCCCCTATCAATTTCCCCCTCTGGCACCATCAGTTTGTTTTCTCTATGAGTCTGCTTTGTTTTGCTCATTTTTTTTAAGATTCCACACATAAGCAAAATTATGCAGTATTTGTGTTTCTCTGACTTATTTCAGTTAGCATAACAACATCTAAGTATAGGGAACTGGTCTGCATGGCAGTGGCGAATGTAGCTCAGCCCTGGTTCGGAAAACCAACAGGCATGAGGTGGCACACAGGAGCCAGACCCACAGATAGGTTTTCCCATGGGGAACCAGGCCTGCATTATATCTAGGCTGAGTTGAGCCTTGCTTTTGCTAAAACTCCCTCACCTTGAATTAAGGCAGCAAATGTTTAATGCATATCTTTAAAGTAACTTCGTAAAGTCTGTGCTAATCCTCCTAAGGACTGAGTGTAACCAGTTCAACTGCTTTTGTCCTTGCATTTGCAACATCCTTTTTTTTTGTTATCCATAAGAAGTAAATAGCAACATCCTTTCCTGTGTGTAATAAATGAAGACCCTCCTTGATGTAAGGTTCCCAGAAAAGCAATAAAAGCCTATCTAGGCAGGGGTCAGGGTCCTCTCTCACTCAGAGAGTGGCCATGCCATCCCTTTTCTCCATGGGACTTCTGTAGTCCATGTAAATTCATTCATCACATCCACAACACACAGACCCTGCTGGTCAGAGTCCGCATCTTCTAAACCCATCTATGTTGTTGCAAATGGCAAGATTTCATTCTTTCTATGGCTGAGTACTATTCCATTGTATATATATACCACTTCTTCTTTATCCATTTATTTCTTGATGGGCAAATAGATGTTCATATAAAGGATAAATAATGTGCTGCAATTTGTACAACCCATTTGAAGGAAGCAAAAGACTTATTGAGATAAACCATCAAGAAGGGAAGGTGTAATGTGAAAACCTGTGAACCATAAAACAAAGAATCTACTAGTATGATAACCTCATTGTTATTTTATGATTGGTATTAAGCAATTATTATCTTCATTCGGGTCTATAAAACACAAATATATGGTCATATTAACTAGTTAATCTGAGCATTAATCAAAAGGGCTGCAAAAACTTGAATGACAGAGCCAACATGCCTTTGAATCCTCCTACTGGAAATCTTGAAGCATTGGTTCATTCATTAAATGTAAAATTTTGCAAGTAGTGTTTCTCATTTAGTGAAATGTGACATCTAATGCTGAAATTGCTTCTCCAAGCTCCTGAGAAGGTCACTTGGCCCACCACCCACCCAGCAGTTTGAAAGTTGTCTTCGTTCACTCTAAAATTCTGTGTCTAAGCCAGTTTCCTCAGTTTATGAATTCACTTGATTTTGAGATTGTCTGATATTGATACTAGCTAAATCTTGACCTTCAATGAAAACAAGTATAGCAAAACTCAATTTATATTTTTGATATTAATCCCTTATCACAGATATTATTTGTAAACAGTTTCTCCCATTCAACGAGTTGTCTTTTCCTTTTGTTGACAGTTGCTTTTGCAGTGCAGAAATGTTTTAGTTTGATGTAGTCTCATTTATTTTTGCCTTTACTTTTGGTGTCAAATAAAAAATTATCACTAAAATCAATTGTTTTCTTCTAGGAGTTTTATGGCTTCAGGTCTTACATTTAAATCTTTAATCCATTGTGAGTTAATTTTTGTGTATCATGTACAATCATGGTGCAGTTTTGTTCTTTTGCATGTGGCTGTCCAGTGTTGCCAACACAATTTATTGAAAAGACTGTCCTTTTCCCATTGTATATTCATGGGTCCTTTGTCATAAATTAATTGACTACATATGCAGGGGTTTATTTCTGGGCTCTCTATTCCATTCCATGGATTTATGCCAATATTATACTGTTTTGATGACACAGTTTTGTAACATAGTTTGAAGTCAGGAAGTGAACATTTTCCTCATTGTAATATAGATTTAGTTATATGTACTTTAATATTTAGAACATTTACATGCTAAATTTCTACCACTCTGATACAAGAAACAAAAAAACGAGTAATCATTGATTTTTTTCTTTTATTTGTTTTACATATTTTTAAGAGGAAACAAACATTCTTAGTAACTGTTAAGAAAAGTTTATTGCCCCTACCAGTGGACCAGTTGCAGCGACTTGTTACAGACTTGAATCTGTCTGCCACCATGGCAGGTTTGGTTTCCTGGAGACTGTGGACTAGGGAGCATCTGTGTAATCTGATGTCTCTGGGGCCAGCTAAAGCTGAGAGGAGCTGGGCTTTACTGCTTCAAAGCTTACTCGTTGCTGGGCTAACAGTTGTATTGAGCAACTTGCTCCATCCTCATTCTGCCCCCCAACGTTATGCTTTTTGCTAACCTAGTGAACTTGAGATGAGCATAGCTGGGACACTAGGCTCTGGTGTACAAGTCTCCAGAAATGGATGTACTTGGAAACATTTCTAGTTACTTTATGAGTGTGTTGGTTTGTTGTGATTGTTATTTGTGGCCATGACTATTTTGGTATTCGTCGTGTGACCCTGTCTTTCCTTTTCCAGAGGACCTACCGAGCCATGTATGATTACAGTGCCCAGGATGAAGATGAAGTCTCCTTCAGGGACGGCGACTACATCGTCAACGTGCAGCCCATTGATGACGGCTGGATGTACGGCACAGTGCAGAGAACTGGGAAAACCGGGATGCTCCCAGCAAATTACATTGAGTTTGTTAATTAGTTATTTCTCCTTGCCCTTTGAGCTTTATTCTAATGTACACTTAAACCTAATCTTTTTAAAAGATAGAAGATACTTTTAAGACAACTTGGCAGTTATTTTACAATAATTTATCCTTACTTTGACAATTAGGCACACAGGTACCAGAAAGAAGGAATGATTTCTGGGCTGCAAGCAGCAGCAGTGTTAGTAATTCCTGCAAACAAAACACCGCGGTCTGGAGACCTGGTGCTGCTAATTGTTACTGGTTTCTTTTGATTGGCTACTGAACCCTTCTGGGAAATGTATTTTTGTAGACTTTAATAGAGATGTTGATTGTCCTGTAAATGTAACAAGTATATGAAACTTCTTAGCTGTCACTTTGGAATCACCAGAAGCCAATTCTCTTAATTTAGTAACACCGTTTAGCTGTGGAGTCATTAGGCAATTTCCAATTCCAGTGAAAAATTGCCTAATATAATAAATGTTAGCAGTGGCAGAATGACAGTTTGGTTAAAATTGCATTGACTGGTGGCCTTAGGGACCTGGAAACTTCTACTGAACAAAGAAACTTTTTTGTTTCCTTGGCCAACTTAAGTCTATTTATTTCTCACTTGTACCAAGGCATATACTACCCCGCCATTTGCATTCTGTGGGCCCAAGTGTGTGCTTGCTTCCACAGAATGTCAGGACCAAATAACTTCACAGGTACTCTGCAAAGGGCAAATTTAAGGTCATCTATATTATTTCCCTAATAGCCTTCACCCTGTTGCATGACATGTAGGTCCAAGCTTCTGTATCATAGGCAGCTGCACTGCCCATTGCTCTTACTAAAGCAAAAGTGTGGCTGATCTCTAACAGCCCTTCCTCTAGTTGCCAGCTCATCAGAAAAACGTATTTTGAAAAGTTGCTTGAGATTCTCCTGCTGCATTGCACTCTAGTTTTGGAGGATTTACACCTTAGGAAATAGATGTATACTCTAGTAAATAAGCGATTTAGGTGTTTATCGAACAGCTTTTATCAATTTAATGCCGCTGTTGATTTAAAAATTAAGAAAATTTAACAGGAGCCAGTGACAAAGTGGGACATGAAGTGGGCTGGAGGAAACCAGTGAGTGAAAACTACTAACTCTACATACAGAGAGAAGGTCTGGCTTCTTATTTTGGAAATGGTACTCAGGTTCTGGAATGGAAATCCAGCTGATGAAACTGGTTGATGAAAGGATTTTCTTTTCACTTTCTGTTTCTCGTTATCTGAATCACATTCAGGAGGTGAGAGAGGAATGTTGTCAGAGATTTCAGCTGCAGGCCCAACAGGTTGTGCATGGGAAATGAAATTGTTCCGACTTTCAAACAAGTGACCTTGCAGTTTCTTGCTGGATTCACAGCCCTGACTGCAGCTGTTACTGGCAGGTCGTGACTTTCAATTGATTCCTCCGTCTAGACCACCTGAGGGATTATCATCCATCAGCAACTGTGTTTTTCTGATTGTGCCACTCACTGGGACACGCAACGGGGTAGCATTCATGTAGGACCTGACTTTATAGTTGAGACAAAACTGAAAAAACAAAGTTACAAACATGTGACAAAGTGTATGGCTCTTGTATGATATCATATCCTTACATGATATAATCAAAGAAATTAGCGAAACATTTTCTAAAAATATCTTTTACTGAAATGTTCATCAACCCAAAGGCAAAGTTAATTCATTAACATCTTTGAAAGGTTGGCAAATACTTTTGAATATCTGTAATTTCATTCTATCTGTCTGAGTAAATAAAATAAAATTTATTGCATGCAAGCTTCACCTACATGACAGCGCCATAAAATTGAAAAGAAAAAAATTCAGGCAAATAACAAGAGAGGTTTTTTTTTTTTGAGTGAGCTTTATGGATTACCAAATAACCAGCTTGACTGAGTTTTCTTTATTGGAATGACCAGTCATGATTAAATTGATTAAACCCTATATCAGTTTTGATGTCCTGTACAAAAACATACAGACGAACCGAACTTGCAGTATTCTTGCAAAAATTTGTTTGTTAAAATTGAGGGAAATAAGCTTGCTCAATTTTATGATATTGTTAATTAAGTAAATATTTACATTTCATCCAGACTTCTTCTTGTGATTATAAAAAAGGAGTAGTTATTGATTCAATTTGTAGACTAGCACATGTAGGACAGATACCATTTTTGATAAGTAGCACATTTATAGGAAACTGACTGAAAATGATGGTTGTAATGGGGGAAAGTTACCAGAAAGCAGCAGCTTGGTGTTTCATTGTTTTTATCATCCACTAATTTCAAAATCAGATTCATTGAATGTAAAAGTCAACACTTATTTGGGGAATAATTCTCCTGAAATTGTAAGCTTTACGTAATGTTTGCATAGCAAGATGTTTCTGCTTCTAGCCTTTAGAGATAAAGATCTGATCAGGATTTCACTAGAGGACAGTTATTTTACCATAAAGACTGAGGAAGGATAAGATGTCACATGCCCCTAACCCTCTAACTGTATAGTGTTGTCATTGTTCCAAAAGCTTGTTAGGATATTAAACATCTCAGCAGAAACTGAGGAAACATATGTTTAATACCAAAGTGCTATTTTTACAGCATCATTTTCCAAACTACATTCTTGAGCAGCTTTTCCCCCTTCAACACACCCCCTGCCCACCTTCAACTTGGCAAGAGGTATCTCATACATAATGATGACAGCTAAACAAGAGTCTAAAAACCACATTTTTAAAATTCAAGTTACAGAAGACCACGAGTGCCCGAGCACAGAGAGCACACACCTGATTTTCCGCATTTGATGCTCTCCAGCCGGATAAAAGCACAAGGGCAGTGTGATATGCTTTTCAAGACTTCAGAAACGAAAGTGTACACGAATCACGTATCTCGGGAGAAAAGCATAGCAACAGAATATAGTGCTTTTGTGTAAGTGTTTGTAGTAAATGTTTTTCCTAATTCTTGGTCTCTAGGAAAGCTTTCTGTCTCTCACCTGTGGCAAAATGACTTCTTTGGGTCTTCTTGTTATCATTTACACGTTGGCAGCCTAGCCCAGATCTGAAACATTTTATCTGATTGTCAGATGCCCCCGCCTCTCCCCAAGCCTCCCGCACCTCCAGACACCACACTGGTATTTGCAAGCACAATTTCCAAGAGCACCTTGTATGAAGATGGATGAGACCAGCCCAGCCCCCCTCTTGCCACTAGGTCCATTGCTTGAAGATGACGAAGATACAGTTTAGCCAGTTTTGCCACAGTCTGTCTTTCTTGATCCTCTATGTGGAATGCAACAGTGCTGTGGGGGTGGGGGCGGGGTGGGGGAGGGAAGCCACTTTTCTAAAACTGGAAGTTGAAGAGGAGTATCTGTTTTTAAGCTTTGTCCATCTCCAGTGGAATGTTTTTAATGGAAAGATAAAGAAAATGTGGATGATCCTTTAATAACAAATCTCTATATAGAGTGGATATCATTTATACCAAAATTATAATATAGATATATATAAAAATAGGTGCCTTTTTGATTACCCTTGTTTATTCGCTATGGTCTGGGAAAGAAAACCAAGCAGGCAAGCTTCTGCCTATTCTATAGTGGTATTCTATTACCCATGACTGGTATTTTTGTGGTGGGGAAGTGAGATGCTCCTGACAGATATGAAGGGTGATAGCTGATTGTATTTTACTTCTCAAGGTTTAGAACTTTAGAAAATACTGACTCCTCCTATCAATTTCTGAAATGTTCTTTGTAGATTTATATGTAGTTAAGATACATAAACATTAATTTTAGGTTTGAGATTTAAAATACCTATTGTAAGATAGAAGAATTATATTATGAGGCTGAATTCCTTACACGAGATGAAACATGCTTCATAAATTCATTATCCCTTAGCTGTTTGCTTCTGATAATCTAAAAGTGGCTGAAGTGTGCTTGTTTCGGGTCACATGACATGGTGGTGAGAAAGCTTTAGTTAAGAAGCTATTTAAACAAATGTAAGAAGCTATGTAAATGAATGCTGAAACAAAAGTCTCCTTCTCAAGTAGTCCATGCCCATTAGGGTAACTTTCTCGACCTCTTTCAACTACTGATGATCAAAAAAATCACATTATATGAAGCTTCTGTGTCCATTGTTCCATGATGCTTCGACTCCTGGAATCCACAAGCCTGGAAGGATGGACCCCCAGGGCAAACGTCTTCCCCATTGTCCATGCTACTTTGTTGTATTCATGGGAATTTCATATGCTTTTTGTGTTTGCTATACAGTATTCAGTTTGCATAGTATATACTTCTTTGTAATCCAGTTGCTACTAAGAATGATTTACTGAAAAAAAAAAAAAAAAAGAAATCTGCATTATGGTCTCATTCTTCCGTGTCCACACAAGGAATGGCTGAGCATTTAGAAGCAGAAATAAGTGTGTTACAGGCACAGTGTGGAAATGCTTGGTCTTTGACCTGTGATAAAAATGCAAAATTGAACCATTGTGCAGTTTGGCTTCTATTTGCTTCAAAATATGTAGAATTGTGGTTGATGATTAATTTGCAAGATCCTACTAACTTTGGGAGCTTACAGTTTGGGAGGAAACAATGTTTTTAAAATGAAGGGGCTTACAGAATGAACAACACAATGTTATTAATATAATTTGGCTTTTGTTATGCAAATTGTTAACACCAGCTATTAAAATATATTTTAGTAGAAATGCTTTAATTCATTTTTTTCCTCTACACTGTGAGTCTTGAAGCCTTGGTGGACTAGAGCGACATCGTGCTGCCCAAAGGACTAACCTATGCAAACTAGTTCACATTTTAGTGGGTGTCACATGAATCGTGTAGTAAGACATTAGACCCCCTGCATAATGCACAGCAGCATGGAAAAACTCATTAAGCCTAGCATCATGTATGTATGGTATAGCCACTCACAAAACCTTCAAGCCTACCATAATCATAATATTATTACTCATTTAAAAGCGAATCACTGATTTATCTATTAAAACTACTTGAACAATGTCGTAACAAGAGTGACGGATGTATGTGTCAGCCACGGCGTCAGTGTGGTCACCGCAGGTGTTCTCCTGAGACAGAACTGTGTTCTCAGATGCACTCTTTTCAGGGTATTAACATTCTGTGTCTTCTTTCTGTATTTGTAAAATATTATGACACTTTAATTTCCTATCTCTACACATTCAGTTTGCTCAAATAAATGCAGAATATAAAAAATGGTTCCACTTCTTGGTTCTCACCTTGGTTTCTCAGAGCATGAATGATTAGACCTTGATTTCTTGCAGCATGGGGCATTGATAGTACCCTGGGTCTCAGGTTTATCATGACAACTCACATCCAGTTGCATCAAAGGTGTATGTTGGCGTCAGTGCCCTAACATTGGTGAATCACTCAGAATGTGTCTTCCTCCCCAAATATACTTGGTTTTAAATGATAATGATATTATGCTTTTTCAGGTTCAGTATCTTTATTATTTTATATCAAAGTAAAACAATAATGTGTTATCGCAGTTCACTTCTTTCAAGATTAAACTCCTCATATGTCCTCAATAGTACCTTTTTAATTTTCTTGAACTTGTAAGATGAAAGAAACAGCTTGAAGCAAAGAATAGAAGATACCCAAATTAAGTACATGAAACAGGAAGATGCTCTGATTTCTTAGCTAAGAATGGCTCACTTATCATAGAACATAATTGCTTTTTCCCCTAATTTTCCCATAGTTGTCAAAAATGAGTTAGTCCCTATTTTTGCACTCCTAAATCTGTTGAGACTGGGACCTGAGCCTTACTGTATTGTTTCGTGTGAGTTCCTTGTGAGGGCACATAAGCTCTGCTCAATGCAAACCAACCAGCTCTGTGAACAGCACACTTGGTCACTTGCTCACAGAGTGAACACTTCCTTCTAAATCTTGAACTTTGTAGGTTTGTTTTATATTACAAAAATAAGAAATGAATATTTGTGTGGCAGTAATCATCAAACATGTTGACTTTCAAAATTACAAAACAGCTTCTTTATTTATTTGAATAATTTACTATCTTTTTCTATCTCCAGGATTTTTTCCCCTCTATGATAAATTTACTCTTTGGAGCCAAAGCCACCAAGAAATAAATAACCTAGTAAAGTTTTTTTCTAAACTAAAATAATTTAGGTTTAGAATATACTGTGCTTATAATTTTATTAACTGAAAAATTTGCAAAGATAGTTTTATAAGTATTTGAGACACACATGACCACCAGAAGTCTAGCAAAATAATTTACAAAATATTCAGATTTAGTAAATTAAAAAGTGGATAAAAGTTTTGTTCCTTTATGCAATCTGCTTCTCCCTAAGAAGATAAAAGTTTTGTTCCTTTGTGTATGTAATCTACTTCTCCTACACACAGGACTGAATAAGAGTTTTGTGATCGCAGAAAACTGGATATGGTCCCAGTGGGGACTTCAACCGCTCTCTGCAGTTCTAAACAAAATTCTCAGGCCCTTGTCTATTGTATTTCTACTTGGAAGCAGCAGAATTGTGCTGAAAATAGAATTAGAAAGTAGATGTAAAGCGTGAAAAGTCAACATTAGAATAGAGAGCCCAATGGCTGATCTGTATTTATACCGTGGCATTTTGATCTTCGCTACTTTTCACTTTTTTTAAAAAAAAGCTGCAAACATGAAAGAGGATAGTAGACTGAAATAGAAAAGGCCCAACCTGAACTTCAGTTATTCCACTTGAAGAAACAAGGCACTCTACTGCATTCCAAATTTAGTTATTAGGTTGCCCTATAAATGAACTGCTTTCTGGTCCTGGACCAAGGATAGCCACACTTAACGGCCTTTTTCCAGAGGGTTGCTGTCCATGCTGGTCACAGCTGACTGGCCTACAGACCTCCCAGGTACCCTCAATGCGGGCTGCACAAGAACTTTGCGTCACAGGGTTGACAGGGACTGAATCTGTTCAGATCTCCTTGAACAGCCTGAGTTCACAAGGCAGAGCAGGTTAGGTAACTGGTTGTATTGTTAGAAGGTAAAAGACATAGAAAAGGAAGGAGGAAGCCAGGAGTAAGGTGTGAATAAGCAGAAAGCATGAGAATGAAAAGGTCCTGAAATGGGGAAGAGAGATTTAGACTAGACTGAGTAAAAAGTAAAGTAGATAGATGGCCGCAAGTGGCAGGACCCAGCTAAAGACATGAAGAAATGGGTTCTTGTTACCATGGCTCCTGGGATTAGGCAGCCTGGAACCCTGCTGCCGAGGGTGTGCCCACACTCCCTGTCAGATGTGCAAAGACATCCTGCAGACACGGTGAGGCCACCTCCTCTTATCTTGACCAGCATCAAATTTCATGAATGATGGAAAGATTTGCACCCACAGGAAACACTGGGTGGCAAATGTAATTGAAATGCCAGTTATATTATTATAGTTCAAATGTTCCAAAGAGACTTAAGTTTTATGATACATTATACTTACATATCTTGTTGAAAATCACTTGAGTTAGAAATTGTTTCTCTGGGCCCTATGAAGGATATCCATAATTAATATCAAATTAATTTAAATTCAACCAGTAGGTACGTAAAAGGAAAGGAGTGGGGTTTAGCGAAATCTCATGATTTCTAAGTGATTGGCAAAAATGAGGCACTGACTGGGGCCACTCCCAATCAACATGAATTAGCTGTCCCATCATATCTTCCTGAATCTCACTGAGAGCTTGAAATCTCCTTTGTGAAGTGATTTTAGTTTTGGGAAAAGCCAGAAGTTGCAGGGTGCCAAAACTGGACTGTAGAGGGGCTTAGTCACCTGGGTGATTTGATGTTTCACAAAAAAAACTCTGCATGAGATGTGGTGCATGAGCAGATGCATCATCGTGTTGAAGCTGCCAATCACCACTTGCCCATAGCTGCAGCCTTCTGAATCATCTGAATAGTTTCTGAGGAAGAATGTTTAAGCTTAATGCAAAATTGGATGCAGATTTGTTGCTCTTACTTGCTCATTTTGAATGCAATGGCCACACGATGCACATGCTCACTCAATGGTATCTACCACCTCCACTGACTAGTACGGGGAAGTCATCATTGTTCACACATGCGCATTCCAGGTCACTCTTCTTGGCTGCCAGAATACATTGATGTCACATAAACGATTTTCCTTGTATTAACAATGGCTGAACTTTTTCTAGACAGACCTCGTATATCTCATATTTACTCTGTGTTTATGTGATTCAAGGAAGAGAACAGGAACTTTTCTCATAAATCTTTAACATACTGGTAGGGGACAGTGATATTAACCAACTAAGAATATATATTTATACATTTATATATACTTGTGTATACTTACACAATGAATTGCTT